TCTGTGCCCTCTAGACAGCCTCTCCTATATACCCGCCCTTATCGACACTCTTGTTACTACCACCAGCAGACATTCTACGAATCTCACACGTGCTCCAAGGCACATATATGGATTGCCGGACCTGTAACCTGAAGTACTTGTTGGGTCTCCAGATATTTTAGAGGGTCTAAGGTACCCTCTTTGTCATGCCGTGGCTAACCCTTTTGGGGACCATCAAGCGGGTTGAGGAGGAAACCGTGAGAGAATCCTCAGACATAATTCCATTGGGTATGCAGTTTTTTCAGCAGCTCAGTCAGCTGCCTTGGCGCCCCGAAGGGAAGTCCCCTCTCTAGTCCCCGGCAATCTACCTCCCCTGCTGGAAAAGGGGTTGCCCAGCCGCTTCGAATGTCACTGTCATCTCCACATGGCAGCAATCAACCATTCAGGGTGCTGTAGAAATCTGGGCCACGCCCTCTTGGTTGCCAAGGAGAGAAAGTTTGCTTCCCATGGTGCTGCCTGCCAGGCTGTAGGCATCAATTTCAGTGGCTGCTGACACAATCTCCAGCCTAGGCCGTCTTTTGAGCCAGCGTTTGGGGATCTCCGCGGTTGAATCGACTCATCATCTATAGCAAAAGCTCGCAATATCTCTCTGGAGGGGAAATGCATCCACCTGGATTCACCGCTGTCCACAACTCACTCCCTCTTTAGATTGTGTAATTTGACTTGCTTCTTTGTGTTGTTTGTTTTGTCCTTTTTCCTTTTCATCCATTATAATCGGTTACTTTATCCTATAGTAAGGCGGTTCTTACGTGCTCTTTTTTCTTTTTCTTTTTCTTTGTTCTTAATGCGTCTGTGTCTGTCCTTTATTAGTGCCTTTGTACAATTAAAAATCTCAGGTTAAAAAATGACCTATAGCTAAAGGAATCGCATCCGGCTGTTTGACCATTGCTACTTTGTATATTCGCTTAGGACTACTAATTATGCATATGCATATTGTATAACATAAAAGCCATAACCTCCATTCTTACAAGTAATTATAGCATTCCTTGCCCTAATGTGTATAGGTTGGGCTAGCTAGGTAAGAAGCATGTCCATGAGCCACCTGTAACACAAGATGGTTAATAGAACCATTAACCACATATGAAAAGGAATGTAGATATTGACATTCTCATTGTTGGTTATGACTCACCTTCAGTAAAATTATACCTCTCTATGATAAAACTGGAGATTTCCCAAACTCTCTTGTGACCCTTTCACTGACTAGATATCTGAGACACATGAAATTCTTAGCATCGCTCATCTGACACAATTATGCCACCATTATGTAAACTACTTGACCTATGCATATTTTGTAGCTCTCTGGTGTCGCAATTGACACTCATGAGTGAGAACTCGCACATGAGCCAGTTCATAAGTCATGTCAGTCACTCTGGCTCCAGTGGCATTTGGCTTTCTCACTGCTCTTCAATCTTCACCATCAAAAGTGCCCACTTATCATCTGGCCATTGCCTCAAGCAATCCTCCGTTTACTTTGTGAGAGTCATGTTTTTTTATTCAGTAACTGAATAATTTTTATCTTTTTTCCTCTGAAACATTTTTTTAATCTTTTCCTTTCAAAACTTCAAAAAGAGGCTACTGGAGAGATTGGAGGAGATCATAATACCAAGATACTTGTAATGAGTGACTAGATCAAGATTCTCACCGTTTAGGGTCAAGGTAGGGCAGTGAGTGTGTTAGTAATATGCACTTGCACTTTTCAATGTTTATGTTCATGTCTCAACAACTTGGTAGCGAGGTAGAAAGGCAAGGCAAGGCAAACAAGTCAACTATACCCAGGACAGCTCTTTGAAAAGAAGAAGAGTTGCCCTAGGTGGGATTCGAACCCACGACACTCCGCAGTCTAGGCGAACGCTCTACCAACTGAGCTACATGACTACAGGCTGGCTGAGTAGGATGTCACAGTGGCACACACACAGAAGAACTGCAGACATACACAGGCGATGGTTAAATGATAACACGTAATTAACTTATTCTACACTTTATCATCTGCTAATGGGCATCCAGTTACATACAGGTTACAAAGTACTGCCCATCGTCTTATACCCACAATTGATTAAATATGTGGTTGATGATGGGAATCTAGTAGGTACGGGTTATGGTCAATGGCTCATGTTAATTGTTAAGTTAGGGTAGCTTTAGGCACATATAAAAAATTATTTGTCTTATTACGTAAAACTGATTGCCAAGTGAATGAGAAGCCAAACCCTCAGTAAAAAAACTCAGATACCTTCAATAACTAAGGAGGCTCAAATACAAATGTTATAAGGTTAAAGCATGAGTATTAATTCCCTACACATACATTATTCTAAGATCATACTACTTTACAGTGTACACGCTACAGCAATGCATATTATTTCGCTATTGATAATTTTGCATGTGCATGTGTATAATAACAAAAGCCATTCCTGCAAATCAGTATAGCATTCCTTGCACAATGTGCATTGGTTGGGTTAGTTATGTAAGATAATAACTAAGCATGTCCATTAGTCACCCTTAACACAAGCAATTGTTATTAGATACTAAGCATTAACCACACATCTAATTAAAGTTGGGGGTTGCCATCAACAGGAATAACAACTTTAGAATGGAATGTACATAAAATGTATCACATAATATGTTGTTTGTGGGGTATGCCTCTCATTCAGTGTCCTTCATAAGAAGATCTATGATGAAATGAAAAACAAAGCATGTTGATCCTCTCTTATCCGTTGTTCGTATGCACGCTTCTTGATTTGCACTCTATGCTGGCTGCGTTGTCGTCTAGCCTTCTCCCTTCTACACTCCTCCATCCAGGCCATCAGAGGTGCAAGATTATCATGTTGACATACCATCAAAATGCCCATGGTGTTTGATTCGGAATCACATCTTATATCACTCTAAACTGCATTTCCGTTTGGAGATCCCTGCTTATATACACCTAAGATATATTATTTTTACTGCCCTGAATTGTATATCACTTAGTACAGTAGTACTTAATATATGGGGGTGACATAGGTTGTCCTGCATTATGCACATACATTTGAGATTTAAACCAAGCTGCCTTTAGTAGTCTGGCATAGCCTGCCTATTTCACGCGCACGAAAGAAGGCAGGCTTCACGAGACTAGGTCGGTCGGTATATAGACGATGACCACTTTTTTTGCGGCCGGTGAGAGTTTTAGCTAGCCCTTATGAGGAGCTGCAGAAGAAAGTCGATGCATACCAGAACCTACAGGGATTCGAAAGCGCTCGAGGCTGCTAGTAAGCGGGTTTCAAAGCGGGTGGAAATCGCTATTCGGTCCACCTTGCCTGCATGTTTTTGGTGGCAAGAAGTACATCATATGGTTTTTCTACACATGTAAAGGCAGAGGTTTGTATCTGTGTACAGGCACTACACTCTTGGTTCAAGGTGCAGGTTATAAATAGGCTATGATGGCTCGTGCAGATACAGTGTTCGCTCCCGCTCGGCAAAAATTCTCTTGCATATCTTCATGGTCGACTCCCAAGTACATGAGTAGGTCAGTTGTGCGCAGTAAACACAGCATGTACGGGATTGCCGACCAATATTAATAGCTAGCCACATATATACCTTCTCTAAACATTGAATGCCCTTCTCCAGGTGAGCATTCCACACCTGTGCTGCATATTCAAGTATAAAGCCTTAAAATAATTCGTGGGTTGCTTTATAGTATTTTTCGTAATCCTGTGAAAAATAGTGCCTAACACCCTTCTTTCTTTCTTCTTCTTCTAGGGATAATGCACTTATTAATGAGCGTAAAAGATCTCTTTATTTTAAGATATCTGTGGCTAGAGTTGCAGTAGTATAATATATAATATAGCTAATGGTTCATCACACAAAACAGAGCATTCTGTTTACACACTGTGCACATGCTGCACCATAATCAATTTCTGTTAGATGTAATTGTAACTACCAACATCTTCTGAATCAGTTATAATAAAGGCATTATGACATGATTTGGAAACTTCTGGAGATTCTTCGCAGCCAGATAAAGCTCACATGGCTAGCTACACTTGAACAATTTGAGAATCCCAGGATTCAGGCTGGTTTTGCAGCCTTCGTTACTTGAAGAATGCATGTGTTGCTGAATCACAAGTGTTTTTCATGTCCTGTTCAAAAGATTATATAATTATGTGTTTGATGAACAGTGTATATATTACCGACGCTCTGATTAGCAACTCAAAACTCAAACAAAATGTTGCAAAAATGATAGCTACTTATTTCAGTAAACTCTCAAAAAGTTTGGGAATTTGACTCCTGCTTTCATTTCTCAACAAAACTCTTTGTTCTAAGAAAAAGATGAATATCCTATTCTCAAGATAGCTACAGTCCCTGAAAATCAAACTCACTCGTCAATCAGTTTACGATACTTCTCAATGTCAGCCGTCAGGTTGATTCCAGAGAGAACAACTGGACCACCACTGACTGTTGAATCTCTATGAGACTCCTCAATTTCACTGATCTAAGATCACTATCAACATAACCTCTTGAGAGAAAAAAGAATAGTTTGCACTAACTCGAGTGCTTAGTTTCCTCTTCTCGTCCTCATAGACATTTTTAGTATGTCTCAACTAGAATGTTACCTAACGTGAAATTTTCTATTAATATTACAGTCTACCTTGTGTTTGAGTACTTCATTCTCTCTCCTTGATTCGTCAAGTTTTTTGGTTATGTCATCTCGCTCCTGCTGGAATATTATGCATTGTGAGCAGACAAAGTAGTCTTCTTCTTCAATGGATCCCAGCCAACCTTCACTTCCCTACACAAAACATCTATCTTCAGTAGGTTTGGCTAATTAGCAACATTATTTACCTTTTTCCCCAACAATGTCCTGTTTTGAATGAAAGATTTGCAGGTTTCTCTTTTGACCTCAGGTATCTCTTCCATTCTCTGCAGTAATGCTCTAGCTACATCAGACAGCCATAGTTGTATACTGAGCTATGCAGTTAACCTTTTGAATGCCAACTTCCGTCTCCTTTAATGTTTCTTTAGCACATTCCCACCAACCCTCAAAGTCATATCTGCTCTGCCTCGTCAGTAGCAACTCACGTTCACGACTCTGTTTGTACTCCTCCTCCATTCTCTGCCGCCCCTCATAGTAATCTTCCTTCTTCTTTGCCACTTCCTCCAGTTCCTCTTGGAGAGAACGAAACTTTTCTTCCACCTGCGGTCAATAATGGTTTTAAACAGAGTGGGCATAAGTTTCAGTTGTGTTCTGCTGCGATGTTACCTTCATCATAAAGGTGTCCATTTCATTATTCAAGTCCTGCAACTCTTCTTTCTTCTTGTGTGTAACATCGCATCTTGGTCCATTGTGATAACATCAGTCACAAAGCAGAATATCATTATGCATAACTCACCCTCTGCCACCAGTACCTCTTTCTCTATCATCAGCCATTCCTGGATTGGTTGTTACCATACGTTTTGAGGAGCTGCAGAATGCAGGACACCCCTGATAACTGGACAAAGGTCCTTTTGTGTCGCCTCTACAGAGTCTCCGTATTATACCCATGCAAATTAGGCAAAGCATGGCCTATTATACCAGCTATCTAGCCACTCCTCACTGAGCTATTAGTTGCAGTTACTGCTATGTAATAACAATACGTTTCCGCATAGCTATATTCGCTAGTAATAACCTAGCTATCATGCGTTGGTATATAGCTATAGTCACCCGCTTGCTATCATGCGTAGCTAACCTGGCTATAATGCCTTGGTGCTACACACGTCGTTACGCCGCTCGGTCCTGTTCCTAGCTACGCACAGATACATCATACGCCGCCAGCCTAGCATACTGACCAAGAACTGCAACCTCGGAAGCAGCAACACCAAAACTCCGCCAGCTTCAACAGTTTATTCCGGACAGTTTACTCAGTAGCGCACATTCCTTGCCGGGTTTTCCGCTCACAATCACGTAGCTACTTATACATGTGTACAGATAACGAGCTTGGCCAAATTACGAAGGACGCTTCCGCAACGTTATCGACAAAATGGGAGTGTCCCAGGGGAGAAATTTTGATACAATGAGATCAAGTCCAAGGCATTTTGTTGTAATAATTCCCCAAGTCCATGATTATGTGAAGCTCACCTCTGTATTGTAGACAATTTCATTTTCCCTTTGTTTTCCGACTACCATAAAAGGCTAACAGTAGAGCAGACAACAGAATGTCATCCAACTGCTGCCAGGTATACCCACTTGTTGCCAAACTGCTCAAATTTCTAAGTTAGCTATGGAATGTGAATGGATTAACTTATGCCCCTTATTTCTTTATTAGAGCAAACATTTACTGTGTGAGTGAGCTAGCTGGGTTTCATGAACTCTGACTATTGTTTCCTCTTTGTTACCATGATGTTATGACAACTATACTGGAGGAAAAATGAATTACCAATGTGAGAACGAGTAATGTGACTGTCATGTGACCCACATAGCTTGACTACAGGAGCTCAACACTTTGTCTCACAATTTGCACATTATTGGTCTTTGTAGAAGTAAAAATGGTGGTTTCAGATCAGAGGTTACCTGCATGAGATTAGCTTTTCTTGCACTCATCTTAACTAGTTCACCTCCCTGATGAGTTAAGCTACAATCCTAATGAGGCCTTAGTGCAGCACTAAAACAAGCTCTGAACAGAAGTAGGAAAAGTCGGGCCATATCATCTCAAAGAAGCATAATAAATTATATGGTAGATTACTCAGTGGGGTGACATATGGAAACTGCTCTTGTGAGCCAAGTCATAATCAATGATAGTTTTATGCATTTTCAGTGCAGGTATGCGTTTAAGCTACATCGCTTCTTTACCAAGTCATTTCACAAAACAGAATAGGTGATGAGCAGCACACAAACACCTTTAACAAAAAAATTTCTTATTACTAATGTTGAGTACGTAACAATACGGTCAACATTTCAGCTTTCTTCACTCTGCATAACTTTTAGTTCTGTAAAAAGATTTATCATCAGTCAATAACTACTATATACCCCTACAAAGTCTGTATGAATGGACTCACTCGTCTATCAGTTTACGATACTTCTCAATGTCAGCCCTCAGGTTGATTCCAGAGAGAACAACTGGGTCATCACTGACCGTTGAACGATTTTGAGATTCCTCAATTTCAATCACCTATGTTAAAGTAATTATAATAAATATCAACAATTTTTTATAAATTCTTACTAACCCGAACATGTAGTTTCCTCTTCTCTTCCACGTGGCGTTTCTCAGTATGTATAAACTAAAGATTTAAACAACGTGATATTGTTTAGTGTATATACAGCATTCTGGCATACCTCTTGTCTAAGTTTCTCATACTCAATCCTTGATTTATCACATTCCTCTGTTTTTTTTATCACGCTCTTGCTGGAAAATTTTACATTGTGAACAGGCATGCCATTTTTCTTCTTCCTCAGTAGCTGTCAACTCGTGCACTTGTGTTACTTCAACCTATACAAGCAAATATCACCTTAAGAGAGGTTTTTAAAAATAATAATAGCTACCTCTTCCAACCTCTCTCTTGTTTTCGTAATTGCAGCTTGAAACTTTTCTTTCTTTAGTTTTTGAATGATGTCTCCCCACTGTTTCCTCTCGCTCTCAATGGTGTCCATTCTCTCTCTCATTCTCTACAGCATTAATTTCACATTGACAACCTTTTGTAACATGCATCAACAGTGTGGTCTCAGGCAACACCCAGAAGCAATAAGGAACTGCCCAGGGTGGGATATTAACCTACAACACTCTGCACTCTATAGATGTACCATATGAAACACTAGCGCAATTCAGCATAAAAAAGGGGCACAGGTGTGTAACCTACCTTTTGAATTTCAAGTTCCTTTTCCTTTATAGTTTTCTTTGCACTCTCCCACTTGGCCTCAAACTCGTTCCTGCTCTGAGTCACCCGCTGTATCTCACTCTCATACTTCCGCTCTCTCCTGTCATATTTCTCCTTGAGGCTGGTGTACTCCGTCTCCGCACACTGCCATTTCTCATAGTATTCCTCCTTCTTCTTAGTCACTGCATTCAATTCCTCTTTGTGTGAACGAAATCTTTGTTTGACCTTCATTCATTAACAAGATAGCTAGTTCGATAAACAAGAGTATAAAACATTGAATGTGATCTTCTACCTCTGCCATAAATGTCTCCAGCTCATTATTCAGGTCTTGAATCTCTTCCTTTTCCTTTATAGTGACGTCCAATCTGGGTCCACTATAGTATAGTAATAATATGTCATATATAGTATTAATTAATAGTTGTTTTGTTTGATTTAGTTAGTAACTCACTCATCGCCTCCGCCACTGCCATCACAATCATCACCTTTGCCGTTACTAACATCTGTAGTATCGTCTGCATTCTCATCCTGGGAGTCTTTGCCTGTGATGCTATTGCCACTGTCCAGGGTGTCACCGCAGCCGTCGTCCCCCTTCTCCTCACTATCACCAGTTATAGTTACTGCCCCAACTTCGCTGCTAATGTAAGTTGTGGAGCTGCCGAAAAAAAGGTAAAAAGTATCTAATTTCTTCAGCGCATATGCTGTGACATTCTAAGTTAAACTTTATCGCGAGTGTCGGGTTCCCCAGGTGCGATCACTGGCACACCTTTCATACTCTTCGGCAACGATGTTAGTAGCAGAAGTAGACTTCATGCTTGCGTAGCTCTCAGGGCCATCAATTTCTTCAACCCTACCTTCAGATTCTTCGGCCATCAACTGAAATTCGGAAATGCAGCATAACTCAGCGTCAATAGTCACACTACAGTACCTTAGTAGCAGCAAACTGTGCCGCCATGTGCCGCCAATAATTGATCTTTCCTTCAGCCTTCTGTGAAATCTGCGCCGAGCTGCAGCAATTTATACTGCGTAACAATAGGCGCACACGCAATTAGCCACGAGCTTCCGTCTTTGAAGGTTTGAACGAACGTTTCCGATGTATACTGGTCGTGAGCCGGGAACTGCAGGCGCGAAACGCGACGTGACACACGCTTTTATCCTACCAATGGAAGCAAAGCGCTGCACGTTCCATACCGAACTTCATTCTATTAGCTGGAGATTTTTGAAGCTCATTCTACTGCACCGGCTCCCTAAATCTATGCTTACTTAGTGGTAGGTGAAATCTGCTATTTTTGCCAATTTACAGCACGTGTAAGGTTGAGTGACTAGACCTCTCTTAGTCCCTTCTACTTTAAAGGTATGTGTGCAGCTGAAAACTGGTGTATTCCCTAGTTTTTATGTCCAAATACGTAGTACTTATACCACGTCTACTAGGGTGTTATCGCAAAATACCCGAAGCAGTAGAGTAGGAACATCCAAGTGGTTGAGGGGGCCAGGACACTATGTTATTTATTCATGAAAGTATAGTTTTAACAGGTGAATGTATAATTATTCATTCCTGAGGGTTTTTGCAGAAACACCCGCAGTAGGCGTGGTATAGGTAATTTGTAGCCTAGTTTTGCTCATCTTCAAAGGCAGTGGCGTATCCAGGGGGGTGCTTTGGGTGCTCCAGCACCCCCCTTGCGCCACCACTTCAACATACAAGAGTTAGCCGCTCGCATGACTAGGCTCACTACTACCGGCGGCGTCCGAGTCGGCGACCCGCGCGAGCGTAAAAGGGCGTGGCACTTAGCCGCGCAAGCTAAGCGCGTATTGAACCCTCGCAGGCAGTTCGAATTTGCTAGGCGTCACCTGAGGAGGCTACAAATGGCTCCGTGCTGAACAATGACGTGTATATATACAGGTGAATAATGACTGCACACCGTTACCCATTGTATCATTTTGCGACGAGCAGGTTCGCGCGCTCCCAGCACCCCCCTAATGTAAATCCTATAAACGCCACTGAAAGGCACCGCCGTGGTAGTATTCCCAGTATAGTACCCAAGCCGCCAGCACGTCAATACTCATATCCCCGAGGATGTGTTAATTGAGTATGAGTATTCGCTGGTTGGGTAGCCACAGTTTATACAACGATCTAATGAGCAAACAATGGCCAGTGACCTTTCTTGGTATATAAGCTGTAGGCTACATCCCAAGCTGGCAGGCAAGGGAAAAGTGGCGAGCCAGTAAGCGAAAAGATGCGCGTGCAAGCCAGAAAAAGGCGAGAGCTGGAGCGAGAGGGCTGTGTGCCTTGCGTCACTTGCCGTGTCGTTTTGAACACGCTGTTCAAAAATGTCAGGCTTAGCTACACCATAGCTGAGCTTTAGCGTACGTGATATACGAAGGAGACTCCAAAGAACGTCATTCCAGGTCGGCGCGGCGTCTTGTCTTCTCTGCTTGGTCCGCGCTACAGCAGCCCGCTACAATTGCACGCTACACTACGCTCCACCGCTATAGAGTAGCTCATCAAAGGTCGGACACCATGTATAATCGGACAGGCCTCCTGAGCGTACGATAAAATATCATTTAGTTATTCTATATCTAGGATGTAGTGTTGCAAATGATAATCCTTCGTTCCAAGTTTGGAGGATTGACGCGCTTTTGTTGCCGAGTTATGCCCTCGAAAAGGTCGACTGCCGATATTACTTAACATCGGACGTTTTCATCTACCGACGGACGCCCTGCAAATCTCCCTTCATCACGAAGCTTTCTGGAATATAACAACATCCAGTAAAAGCGGAGTTCAAGCCCTCCAACCTGCACTAAGGAGAGTAGCCTTCACCTATAGTATTTCCGCTTACTCCGCGTAGTATTGCAGCTACCTCGGCGATCTAAGATCGGACACGTCTAGCCGCACATATACGCATCAAACTGACCCGCGTTTGGACTACCTCCTTGCTTTGGAAGCTATGGGCGTAAGTGTTAACCCTTAGCCAGCACACGGGCACATAAATATGCCCTGAGCATCCATAAGTCTATGTCTATAATACAGTACAGTGCGCTAATATTGTATTATAGCCCTATATTAATCTTATGGACTTATGGGCGCTCTGGGCATATATATGTGCCCGTGGCTGGCTAAGGGTTAACACATGTCCGTCGCTGGCTGGGTGCGTGCTACAGGGTGCGTGCGTGACTTGGGAGTGCTTTAAAAATACAATTTTCAGATGCGGTCAATGCCCATCTGAAATCGGATGCCCTGGGGGAAGCTTATGAAACTTCAGAGTATATAGATGGCTGTCTGAAATTTAAGACACTACTACATCTTAGATTATAGAATAACTGAATGATATTCTATCCTACGCTCTGGAGGCCTGTCCGAATACACATGGTGTCCGATCTTTGATGAGCTAGTCTAGTGTCTGAAATTTCAGACAGCCATCTACTCTGAAGTTTCATAAGCTTCCCCCTAAAATTTATGGCTAAGGGGTATCCGATTTCAGATGGGCACTGACCGCATCTGAAAATTGTATTTTTAAAGCACTCCCAAGTCACGCACGCACCCTGTAGCACGCACCCAGCCAGGGACGGACATGTGTTAACCCTTAGCCAGCCACGGGCACATATATATGCCCAGAGCGCCCATAAGTCCATAAGAATTTATATAGGGCTATAATACAGTATTATAGGGCGCACTGTACTGTATTATAGACAGATTATATTATTCTTATAGACTTATGGACGCTCTGGGCATATTTATGTGCCCGTGGCTGGCTAAGGGTTAACACTTACGCCCATAGCTTCCAAGGAGGTAGTCCAAACGCGGGTCAGTTTGATGCGTATATGTGCGGCTAGACGTGTCCGATCTTAGATCGCCGAGGTAGCTGCAATACTACGCGGAGTAAGCGGAAATACTATAGGTGAAGGCGACTCCTCTTAGTGCAGGTTGGAGGGCTTGAACTCCGCTTTTACTGGATGTTGTTATATTCCAGAAAGCTTCGTGATGAAGGGAGATTTGCAGGGCGTCCGTCGGTAGATGAAAACGTCCGATGTTACGTAATATCGACAGTCGACCTTTTCGACGGCATAACTCGGCAACAAAAGCGCGTCAATGATCCAAACTTGGTACGAAGGATTGTCATTTGCAACACTACATCCTAGATATAGAATAACTCTATCGTACGCTCTGGAGGCATGTCCGAATACACATGGTGTCCGATCTTTGATGAGCTACTCTAGCTCGCTCGAACAAACGGTCAACAGGCAGCATGGGCTCACGCAAGCATGCTCTCGGCCTCCTTTCCCCCGTCTCGCCCACCGATTTCTCTCACAAACCTGGCAAAATGTTGATGACGTTTTATGGTTGCTAGGCAATTAGTACGGTTGCTAGGCTACAAATAGGTTAACGCCTTGGTTACTTTCAGCGGTACCGGATATCCCCTCAGCTGTTTACTCTACCCCCCTCGGGCTCCCCCCTCGGGCTCCGCCCTCGGGTGCTAGAGTAAACAGCTTCGCCGGTATAATTATTATCCCTCTTCAGAACCAGGCGTTAACCTATACTTATACCATGGTAACGGATTTCGTCATCATTTTCGGACCATATTTGGGCACGGCTGTGGACCCGCCGCCATTTTTAGCTGCCAGGTCGATCGGACCGAACGCTCGTTCTCTTTGACGATTGCACCACTGCAGGCGTCCTTAGCGAAAAGTTCGCAGATGAGATGGTTCTGAACCGCCTAGAAACTACCGCGGTCAGTCGTCCTTCTCTGCCGAGTCAAGCAGTGAGTAAAAGACTGAATACTAATTCGGGACAATCTGTGCCTCCTGTAGCGATCCAGAAAAATTGCAGGCAGAAAATAAGCCTGGAAACGAGTGGTTTAACCATGTAATCGGATCAACTGGAGTGTACGGACCCAGCGCGTAGCGACTTCCGGCGACTCGCAAATCACTCGCAATCGTGCGCGCCTGTCCAAATAAGGCCACGCCCACTCGATGCCGCGTCAGCAAGCCAAGAAAAAGCATGCAGGGTTGGATGACCGCGAGGCTCCGCTGTCTCCGCAGCCCTACTGTTCCCCAAATGTCCCCGACTTCCGTGGACTTAGACCTCCGTGGAACAGTATCGTTGTGCTGTGAAGTCACCGAGCGTATGCGAGAGAAGTACATTGACCTAGTCGGAACCTAGCCCTGGACCACCGCCGCCTTGGTTTGTAACAGCACCGACTTTACCCTAGTAAGTGTACATTTGCCCTAGTACGAGAAAGAGCGCCGGCCTACATTCCGCTCTGGTTAGTTCGACTGTGCTTCCCCCCTAATCCCCAGCACAACGACAGTTGATCTTCAGTCGAACTAACCAGAGCGGAATGTAGGCCGGCGCTCTCATCGAGTGGGCGTGGCCTTACTTGGACAGGCGCGCACGATTGCGAGTGATTTGCGAGTCGCCGGAAGTCGCTACGCGCTGGGTCCATACACTCCAGTTGATCCATGCAATCTACCCGCAGATGCTTCGTGCATGCTAAATTCGCCATTTCTTGTTAGAAAGAACGACTGTACTCCGAGCAGCTCATCACAAGGCCGTTTTCAAGGAGAAAAGTCGTAGAGAATTTCTAGGACAGTACTCAACGTGTTTCGGATATGACATACGGTGAATATACAGGATATCCTGTATATTCACCGGTAGGTTTGTAGTTATACTGAATAAACTGTGGGCGGTGCCTTTGAAAAAAATGCGCAACCGTGGTATAACAGCGCATAAAGCTTGTCAGTTTCACCTGAAGAACTCCATTCCCTACTGCACTCACTAGTCCTTGTTGAAAGTTACTCATAATGGATATTGCTAGATAATGGTTTGCTGTTGATACAACCATCATTCTCCCATGTTGTTGGAGTAAGGAAAGAACCTTGCACCAAATGGGCAGGACATAATCCTTATGCCCACACAGTACATAATAATTAATTTGGTTTGGCCAGGTAAACTACAGTAGAACCTCTGATGAAGGACACACTTTGAATCCCAAACATTAATTTTTCTATAGCTCTAGTACAATTTAAACCTCCAAAAAGGGAGAGCAACCTCCCTATTAAAGACCTAATGCCTGCTCCCAGTGTGTCCATTATTCGGTTCCACTGTAAATCCATCTAGCTAATCTTATTTCTATATAGAGTGCTTTATGGACTGATGGAGAAACACGCGTATGCAGTCATCTGCAGAGAGTTTTGAACTCTAGCGAAAACTAAACTTGGTTGAATATGGATCACAGCCTCCAGATTACAGGTTGCTGGATGACAAAAACCTCTTATACTCAAGATTTCACGTATTACTGGATGGTTTAACAATGCTGTACCTCTGTATAGTAATTAATACAGTGGTGGTATAATCAAGGAAATAGGAAATAGACAGCAACATGCATGCAATACAGTGTTAGACAGAGGGTCACAAGACCTCTCAGCCTGAACATACATTGTGCACGCTGCCAGAGGACCACTCTAATAATATTAATTAAAGAAGTAATTATTGTCTTATGCACACTACTACATCAAGAATGAGGAAAAGTTGATTTCCTCATTCTTTCTTGAGCTCTAGTTTCCTTTATGGTACTAGACCTTTGGTGGTAGCTATAATCCCACCTGTCGGTTGATTCATACTTAGGGTAACTATTTATCTGTACCAAGTCCTACAGACGGTATGCGTAAACTTTCTTCTTTGCTCAACTACATGAGTAGCTAGCTCAGTAATAGAAGAGTAATTAAGAATTAGGGAGTGATATCCCGCCCATAGCCGCTTTTGTTTTTGCCCTTTAAGTAGCAGTATTTTTTTGTCTTGCCTTGAACTCTTTTTAATACTACTACAGCCGTGGAGGTGTGCTGCCACAGGTACGATCCAGTCTTCATTGAAGGACATATGTCAGTGGCTACAATAATCTAGACAATGGAGCTAACCAATATACCACCTTGCATTCACACACGGGAAGGTTCACAAATATCTTAGCAATACCCTTGTGACCACTACACAATACTGCTTGCACCATGCTGGATGCTTAGCCACACAAACGTGCAAAGTGAAGGACCAGGAATGCCATGGTCTCATATCTATAGTTTCCTCCATTCCTGGTCCATTCCTGGTGAGTTTCCTCCTTCACTTGGGTTTGTGTGGCTAAGCATCCAGCATGGTGCAAGCAGTATTGTGTAGTGGTCACAAGGGTATCGCTAAGATATTTGTGAACCTTCCCCTTGTGTGAATGCAGGGTGGTCAAAGTAGAGATTGTTGGACATAGCTACTTCAGGAAATCTCACTCTTGCACTTAGCTACTCAAACCTTGACATATTACTGGGTGGTTTAACAATGCTGTACTTCTGTAAATATGGGAACTAATTCAATACAGTGGTGGTATAATCAAGGCAGTAGATAGCAACATGCATGCAATACAGTGTTAGACAGAGGGGTCACAAGACCTCTCAGCCTGAACACACATTGTGCACGCAGCTAGAGGACCACTAATAATAATATATTTAACCCTCGGCGCATGCGCAGCGAGGGTTACGGTACTTGGTTCGTGAGTGTGTGTGTGAGTGTGTGAGTGTGTGAGTGAGTGAGTGTGTCTGTCCGTTTGTCTGTTACCACGTTTTCTGCGACTACGCGCAATGAGACAACGAAATAGCGACACGAACAGGTTCATCGCTACACTGGCCTCATTTAAAAAAAGGAGATTTTGTTATAACTTCTGCGTTCAAAAGTTATGGCGTGAAAGGCAAGTGAACAGGCCAAAATGCAAATTAGCACAGGCTTACCTCGCCCGCGTCCGCTCGCTCTGTGTATCTTGAAGGCACAAGAAGTCACAACGAAGGGCACGTATCGACTCCCGCATGCTATCTACTACTGTAGCTAGCCCGCGTCAGACTCTCCGTGAGCTACTAGAGGGATACCACGAGTAAAGGCATATAAAGCCCAGCCCATCATTTAGTGTACCGCGCATGCGCAGTTCGCCGAGGGTTTGCACTTTAGTGCTTTTCATTAAAGAAGTAATTATTGTCTTATGCACACTACACTACACCAAGAATGAGGAAAAGTTGATTTCCTCATTCTTTCTTCAGCTCTCTAGTTTCCTTTATGGTACTAGATCTTTGGTGGTAGCTATAATCTCCCCCAGTCGGTTAGTGATACATACTTAGGGTAACTATATTTGTGTACCTTGTGTAAACTTTCTTCTTTGTGACCAGCATACTCAACTACACATGTAGCTAGCTCAGTAATAAAAGACTAATTAAGATTAGGGAGTGATATCCCACCCATAGCCGCTTTTGTTCTTGGCCTTTAAGTAGCAGTGTTTTGTCTTGCCTTTGTCTTTGGAACTCACTTTTACAGCTGTGGAAGTGGGTTATCACAGGTATGATCCAGTCTTCAATTATTGCAATAATGGGTAAAAACTACACAATGGGGCCTAGAGCGAGATGGTAGTTGGATTAGTAATAGGCAACAATTGGAGGCTTTATAGTGGTGTCATATTCCCAGAGTAAATATGACTACAAAGCTAACCAATATGGTCTCATATTTATAGTTTCCTTGTGAGTTTCCTCCTTCACCAAAAATTTAAGGTGGGTTTGTGTGGGCTATGCATCCGGCATGGTGTAAGCAATACTGTTACAGGCTGGTTGCTGTGGTAGCTAGCCACTACAGTAAATCCTGAGTGAATGTGTGATTATCAGGCCTAGCTATGACCTCTCCAGGGACACGTAACGATTAAAGATTTCTTCATCATTATTCCACTGAGTGAATGTGTGTTTTGCATTAGCTCTAGCTATGACCTCTCCAGGGAAACAAAAAGGTTACCCGCACACACTCACTCGCAGTTTCCTTAGCTAGCTATAGCTACCCAGTAACTTATCGTGCATGGTCTAATTGTAATGCCTACCTCAGACTAGCCGTGATTTCTTAATTATTTCACTTATGTGGTGTGGGTGACATGGAATATGCAAGTTATGGCATTCCCTAGTTACTAAGTATCAAAAAACTCAGCAAAGGGAATAGTAACTAATGGTGGTCTGATATCATTTTACCCTTTTACTGAGGCGGATTAAGGCGAGCGTCCACGAGGCAGATGGTGAAAGCCTCGCTGTAAGCCTTCAACCTTTTTAGTGTTGAGTGATTAACTTGCACCAAAGGATATTATATATGCTTAAAATAGACTCGGTAAAAAAAGGTTAATGATGTAATCGGTGTGGATGTATGTAGCTACACTTGTGCCTTAGTCCACCCTCGTACTAAAAACTAAAAATAGCGTGCACAGTGTTGGTTCTTTATCAAGTTAGCATTTTTATTGCAATAATATCAAGATGTCGAAACGCAAAGTAATAGTAAAAGGTGCATACATCAGTTAATACAACTAGTTTTTTCGTTAACAGAAAGAATATAACTTTTCTATTAACAAATGTAATGTGTTAAAACAAAAGTACAAATTTGCTGGAGAAGTTAATTAACCCTCGGCGCGCATGCGCAGCGAGGGTTACTGTAGTTGGGTCTGTCTGTCTGTCTGTGTGTCTGTTACTCAACATCTCACTTCTCGAGTGTTTGTTCGTCTCACAAACGATACGACCTAGAGGTCAGAATATTTGTGGGGTTTTCTCTGAAAATGCTCCGTTGCAAAGCTAGAGCGCTTCAAGCATGCGCTTATATTTAGCACAGGCTTACCCAGGCTGCTTGCTCTGTGTATCTTGAAGGCACAAGAAGTCACAACGAATGGGCGTGTATCGACTCCCGCGTGCTATCTACTACTGTAGCTAGCCCGTGTCAGACTCTCCGCGAGCTATACTAGCGGGAGACCACCACGAAATAGCCCAGCCCATCAATTAGCAGTACCGTGCATGCGCAGTTCTACGAGGGTTTGCACTGTAGTGCTTTTCATTTTAGTAGTACAACTTTTGTCATTTAAAAAATATTTACAGCCATGTTCTTCATTATAACAGTAATATTATAATGGTGATAGATTACAGTTTTGTCAAAACAACACACTTAAGGTAAAACAACAATAAATTTCTGAATTATTACCACAGTTTGTCATTTAAAGATATATTTCCGTGAATCTAGGGGCATTTAATTAATGTTCAAGATCCAAAATTAGTAACAACAACAAAAATACTGTTAAACGAACCCAAAATATTTACGGTGTACCTCGCGGAGAGTCTGACACGGGCTTGCTGCAGTACGATACATGCCATTCGTTGTGACTTCCTGAGCCCCCAAGGTACACAGAGCGAGCGGATCAGGTCGCGGTAAGCCCAGTGCGATTATGCATATTGGCTTTTTCACGGCATATCTCTCGAACGCAGTTGTTTCAGGAAAATTGCCCTTTTAGTTTTCATGCGATTGTAACTGAAGCGTTTGGTATCGGTCTTAGGCCACCTCGTAGCCTGTAGTGCGAGAATAGTCGTGGACACACAGACACACACACACACAGAGACCAACTACTGTAACCCTAGCTGCGCATGCGCGCCGAGGGTTAACAACATGCTGGTAGTTGATTTCTACTCAAGGTTTGTGGAGATGGCAAAACTCTCACGGTCCATAGCAACGGAGGTAGTCACACACACCAAAAGTATCTTCACCCGACACGGTATCCGGGAAGTCGTGGTTTCCGACAACGGTCCTCAATACTTGTCGGCTGCATACACCCAATTTGCTAGCGAATACGGATTCAGCCATGTGACAAGCAGTCCACTATACCCACAAGGGAACGGAGAGGCCGAAAGCGCAGTCTGAACTGTGAAAGATCTGCTAAGTAAACGGGGAGACCCATACCTGGCCCTCCTTGCCTATACAGGGCCACACCTCTCCTGTGTGGCTACAGTCCAGCTAAGCTACTCATGTAACGCAGGCTCCTGACAACTGTTCTAACGACCCGCAAAGGCATCATGCCAGTGGTACCAGACAGAGAGAGGGTTAGGGAGAAGGACAAACTGCAAGAACTTCGACAGGAGCGCAATTTCAACGACCATCGACCATTAACTGACTATTTTGAGCGATGGACAGCCAGGGGTTGCCATTTTGTGCAAAAGCTGGGTTCAATTTTCTTTCTTGTTTCATCATCAACCATCTCAGTTTTCCTTCCTCCAGCTCCCAGTTTTGTGTGTGTTCCAGAGAGTGAGGTACAGTGTTGTCATCTCTCATGGAGGAGACCCAGTCCTAGAGCTGTCCAGAGAGTTCAACTACAGCAGTGGCTACACTAGTGAGTGTATTGAGGAGAAGGTCAGTGGAGAGCTGGAGGAGGGAACTGAGTACAGTCTCCTGGTCTTTGTGGATGATGGAGACTCTGGGAACTCTTCTTCTTCCAACATTCAATCCTTCAGTGAATTTTATTACTCATCAATCCAGTACAGGAAGTGAAAATGTGTTTAAACTAGCATTCTGCAGAGGAAACAACGGAGGGAGTGATGGCGATCATAGGAAAAGTGACGAGAGTTGTCTTTTAGGACTAGCTGCAGGTACTGCAGTACTGGTGGTCCTGCCAGTAAGTGTGGTCCTGGGCTGCTGTGGAATGTAAAGACAAGTATTGGACAAGAGGATCTGCCAGGGAACATCTATGATGTGCCATCTCTCACTCTCTCACTTCCCCCCCCCCCCTCTGATGGGGCCTATGGCGTCTGCTAATAGGAGCAGGAACTAACTTATTTCATCTGTAGTGGAGCTTGGCATGTTTAATCCCCTGAGGCGATTTACACTCAGATACCCAAGAAATGTGGGATCTGGGTAGGAGGGTGCATAGTTGGGATTCTTGAGGAGGCATTATTGTCTCACTGTATGTGTGTATGATGACACTCTGAGAGGGATGGTGTGTGGGGTTCCGTCTGTGTCTCTGTGGGGGAGGTGTTGTGGATTGTATAAAATTTCATACCTGGCTCTCTCGATTGAATGTTCACTCCAGCTGTACAATCAGCGTTGTTTCTATAAATATTTAAGGAGGGAGGCAAACCGTAATCCAGACAACCTCACTTAATTATTGACTTAAGAGGGAGCAAATTTGCCCCCCCCCTCTCCCCCTAGAAAAAAACCACATGCATAAATATAGTGGGAGACTTCTATGAGAAAACTTTCCACAAATTTTGCTGTTAAGGATGCACACATCAGTATAATTTTCCCTGCAAAATAATTTTGTATAGGAATTTGGACAGACCATCTTCAATATACTTTCGTAAAGATGTTACACTGAATATTTTACTGCACCAACTACTATTTCCGTTGTTCGCTTATCAAATGCAATACATGCATCATTGACCTTTAATGCATTATATCGCATGTAAATAATTAGCCAGTTTTAAGTAAACCTGTAAAGTAACTTGGTTGCTAGGCAGTGGCAAGGAGCAACTGTGGCATGTCACACTTGTCTTCTCAGAAAAAGTGTGGTGCAATAAGTTCCAATAGTTTATCAGTGTTTCACATGCTCTTCTCTAACAGTTAGTTGTGTATATATGTAGGTATGTGTTCCATGGGCAGTCCCTGATGGGCACAGGAATCTGGAATGTCATATGCTGGCAGTGTTTGGTTTCATGAATGCAAACTCCCTCACTCCCTCCCTTCCTCTCTCTCCCACATACAAATGACATCCACACTGACCCACATATGTACATGCAGCTTTACTCATGCAAACCCCGTTCATAGTAGCTAACTGCAGAGCATCAGATGAGCAAGTAATAAAACTCGGTTGTCGTGGCTGTATTGTGGGGTATTCGGGCTATGTGTGTACAACTTCATGTGGGACGATGGGTCGGTGGGAGAGACCGGTGGTATACAGTAACTGAGAATGTACACAATTGGTAATTGATAACACAGAATTATTATCTTCGTGAAATATTTGTTTAAATGGGTGTGTGGCTCCTGCTGCCTTGCATATGTAGCTTTGCTCAAATATCGCTTTTCAATCTTTTTCTGTCACTCTGACTGATATTGAACACAAACTATGACATCCCGACTGTATGATGGCTGTTCGGGGCTATCCATTTCCATCTAACTTTTTGCCATTTCCATTCAACTTCCATTTCCATTCCACTTCCATTTCCATACTTCTATATACGCGTCTGACTTATGCGCACACTCACAATGCTCCAACTCAATGATGACAAATATTGATGGACAAGATATTTTTGCTAGCAAGGAAGTGAAGTGCTTAGGTTATTGGTTGTCATGGGACCTGTCTGCAAAGAAGGCCATTGATGAAGCAATTGCAAAATCTAGAAGAGCCTTCTTTATGCATCGCTCACAGGTATTTGAAGGACATCTTAACCCGCTAAGTGGAAGGTCTCTCTTTGAGGTATGTTGCTGCAAGAATCTTGTCAAGAAAGCTTAACTTTATTTTCCGTCTGAAGTTAATGGACTCTACAGAATCAATTTCATCGAAGTTTTACAATTCCTCCGATCCACTGCACCTCTCCCTCATACATGAGTGTAAGTTCCTAGAGGAGCACACTGGACTGGACTCATACACAGAGAAAGTGCTCTCTGGAGAATTTGATGGTCAAAGAAAAGCCCTTTCCCAATGAAATCTGGTGTATGCAATAATAACCTTTTGAACCTTTTGCCACGAGTTCTTCATGTGAGCCACGGATCAAGTACTGGGCAGTGCTGATGTTGCCGTGAGCAGAACAGAGTTGTGCTGGTATGTTGCCAGTTGTCATCAGTCAATAGCTGTATACAGCTCCTACAGAGTCAGTATGAATGGACTCACTCGTCAATCAGTTTACGATACTTCGCAATGTCAGCCCTCAGGTTGATTCCAGAGAAAACAACTGGGCCATCACTGACCGTTGAACGATTGTGAGATTCAATCACCTATGTAAAAATAATTATCAAAAATTTTTCATAAATTCTTACTAACCCTGAACATGTAGTTTCCTCTTCTCTTCCACGTGGCGTTTCTCAGTATGTATAAACTAAAAATTTAAACAACATGATATTGTTTAGTATATTATAATAATATATACAGCATTCTGGCATACCTTTTGTCTAAGTTTCTCGTACTCAATCCTTGATTTATCACATTCCTCTATTTTTTTATCACGCTCTTGCTGGAAAATTTACACTGTGAACAGACATGGCATTTTTCTTCTTCCTCAGTAGCTGTCAACTCGTGTACTTCTTCTACTTTAACCTAAACAAGCAAACATCACCTCAAGAGAGTTTTATTTGAATAATAATAGCTAGCTACCTCTTCCAACTTCTTTCTTGTTGTCATTGCAGCTTGAAGCCTTTCTTTCTTGAGTTTTTGAATGGTGTCTCCCCACTGTTTCCTCTCGCTCTCAATGATGTCCATTCTCTCTCTCATTCTCTACAGCATTAATTACACATTGACAACCTTTTGTAACATGCATCAACAATGGGGTTGGGGTCTCAGGCAACACCCAGAAGCAATAAGGAACTGCCCAGTGTTGGATTTTAACCTACAACACTCTGCACTCTATAGATATACCATATGAAACACTAGCGCAATTCAGCATAAAAAAGGGACACCGGTATGTTACCTACCTTTTGAATTTCAAGTTCCTTTTCCTTTATAGTTTTCTTTGCACTCTTCCACTTGGCCTCAAACTCGTTCCTGCTCTGAGTCACCCGCTGTATCTCAGATTAAAACATTCTGGGTATATATAACAAAAAAATGGTTAATGATGTAATTGGTGTGGATGTATGTAGTTACACTTGTGCCTTAGTCCACCCTCATAGTACTAAAAACTAAAAAGAGCGTGCACAGTGTATCTGATGAACTGCAGTTCAACCTCATTGCCTTATTTGCATTGCAGGTAAAAAAAACTTATGAAAAAACGGCACAATGATTCGCTCACTTGACTTTGCCCAACACAATTGTCATTCTTTTCTTACAATATCTTGTTGCACTAAGTTGGACAAGCAGGTTGAGGTAGAAAATAAGTTATTTCTGCAATGAAGCAGAGACCAAATGTCTGCTGTAACGCAAGCACCACATACTCTTTAGTTCTTGTCATGTGACTGTTAGCCAATCAGATCTTTCCATTTTGTCACAGGCACACTGTATTGAATTGCTTAATGCACTGCAAAGTGTGGTTAATGCCTACACCCGCTTCGTTTTTAAAATGCCGAATTTTGTAAAAGTGCCGCGTTCAGGAAGTTTTTGGCATGAAAACCAAGTGAACAAGCCAATATGCAATTAGCACAGGCTTACCTCGACCGGGTCCGCTTGCTCTGTGTACCTGGAGGCACAAAAAGTCACAACGAAGGGCGTTTATTGACTCCCGCATGCTAATCTACTACTGTAGCTAGCCGTGTCAGTCTTTGCTACTAAATAGCCAAGCCCATCAATTAGCGGTACCGCGCATGCGCAGTTCGCCGAGGGTTTGCACTTAGTGCTTTTCATTCCTAGTTGGTATCAACTGGCTGGATGCAACAAGAGTTTGGAGAACCACTGGTAGCTGGTAGCTACCTACTTGGCCCTCTCCATAAGGCCCACAATCATAAATGGAAGAATGTGGTTTCTTAAGGGGGGGACAACCAAATTTCTTCTTAATTTAAAAAATAGTCAGTAGCTAGATGGCTTCAATAAATGATCTACCACATAGTCGGGTGAGTGAAAAAATTGGATCTTCAAAACGAAGGGCGGTATAGGGATGGCTCAAAATATGAAAAAGTAAAGAATAAGGGGTCATAACACAGCTCAGATACACAACGCTACTTGGCGTATCTATATCCTGATTGTTTGCCTATTAATGATAAAGATTTTGAAGAAATTATTATTCCACTTGTTTCCATTATTTTTTTTATGAACGCAGCATGTAGGAACTAACCATGTTGTACATGGGATTACGATGAAACTGCCTGAAAAAGTAAGCACCATGTAGCTACATAAGAAGCTAGCTTTTGTAGTGAGATGGAGTTCGATAGACAGGGACACTGACAGGGCCGGAAATAAGGATCAAAAAGTGGGGTGTGCTCAACAAATCATTTTTTGTACACAAAAGCAAATCAAAACATAGCAAACGAACTGCAAAGTTATGGGCACGCAACATCAAAAGGGGGGGCAGCCCCCCTTCCTAAAAAAGTGGGGGTGCCAAAGCACCCCCTGCCCCCCTAGTATCTCTGCCCCTGACTGAAACACCAGCAGCATTGCACTGTGCGCGCACATGCTAGGCGGAGTTAGCAGGAAATGATCTGCGCCATCCTGCCCACGCTCAGTTTTTCGGGGGTTACGCGAAATGGGCGTGGCTCGCTTACGAGAGCACAGACACAGCGCTGCGAACATCATAATAGAGTGACTGTAGTAGCAGAAGATCCAGAGAGAAGGATGAGAATAACCAAAGGATGTGGGCTCGGAGCTAGGGTATGTTTTGGTGCTCTGTTTTTCGCAGTGGAAGATCAGCGTGGGCAGGAACAAGCCTGCAAAGTTAGTTTGCCTTGCCTGCCTCTGCGACGATGTGGCCTGCTCGTGCTGCACAATTGGCCAAAATAGGCTCTTGTCTTTGCGAGCAGAATGAAATCTAGCTCGTGTAGAATCGCTAAATGTGTGCTGCACATATAGCTAGCTCTATCACGTAGCTATCGCTCAGAGATCTGAACCAGAAAATTATTTAAATGCTTATTGATAACTATGAATTTCACGTGCAGATGCGTAGTATTGTAAACATGCTCACACTTTGTAAACTGTGGCAATTCAAAGTCTTTCCCATCCATAAGTACTGAAACCTCTTGGGAACCAGACGGTGGTCCTGGGAGAACAAGCACACTTCTTCTGTCAGCTCCTGGGACGAGAGGACGACCTGAGACTGAGGATCAATGGACGTCTTCATGCACTTCCTTTCATCACTCCTGATCTTGTCATTGGAGTGCAGAGCTCTGCACCAAGAATGGACGGACTCTCTGTCAGCAATATTAGTATCGACATCACTGCCACAAGGGAACGCAACCTGACAATGATTGAGTGCTATGATGTAACTAATAACAGTGCTGCTTCCTCAAGTGGAACACTAACAGTGAGAGGTGAGAGTATGCAGCTGCATTTCTTATGTGAAACTTTCTTTATAATGTTCCAGGAGGACCAGGGGAGCCAGAAGTGGGGTATGAGGTTTTACGAGATGAGATAGAGATTGTGCTGTCCTGGCCACACCCCTTCACCTGGGAGGACTACCCCATCACTGGATATGATATTGTGTGCAGAGAGACTGAGTCAGAGAAGATCATTCATGACATGACACTCAATGATACTTGACATCCTAAAGAACCAGTTTTCAGTCACACTGTGGATCTACCTCCCATGTGCCCAGAATGTCTACACTCTCCGTTGTACCGGTGACAGCTTTTCAACTCCTAGATGGTACACTTCGGTTTTAAACTTTTCGTTTCGTTCGTTTGTAAGGTAGGTAATAGTTATACATGCTCTCTAATCTGTTCTGTTACATGTTGTTCCCACAAACAGTGAAAAAACTAAAATGAGATGTAGAATTCTCGCAGTCAGCAAACAAAGCTCCAGGAAAAAGATAGGAATTGTTATTTGGTGGAGGTTAGGTCTGTTGTTTCCCTCTGATGGTCTCATCAGGTTTCTCTCCCTCCAGCTCCCAGGTCGGGGTGTTCATGAGAGATGGGTACAGAGTTGTCATCTATCATGGACGGAGCCCATGGAGGAGGAACTGAGTACAGTCTCCAGGTCTTTGTGGATGATGGAGACTCTGGGAACTCTTCTTCTTCCAACATTCAAACCTTCAGTGAGTTATTTTACTCATCAATCCTGTACAGGAAATGAAAATTTGTTTAAACTAGCATTCTGCAGAGGAAACAACGGAGGGAGTGATGGCGATCATAGGAAAAGTGATGAGAGTTGTCTTTTAGGAATAACTGCAGGTATTGCAGTTGTCCTCTCTCTACTGGTGGTCCTGCCAGTAGGTGTTGTCCTGGGCTGCTGTGGAATGTGGTGTCTAATGAGGGAGAGAGAAAGACGACATCACTTCAGTGACAAGGGAAGTGAGAGCAGACAGGAATCACACTATGATGAGCCTGTTCCTACTCAGTCTGCTATCACTGTGACTCATAACTAGGCATATGCCTCTGGCAATCAAAGACTATAGCTAGTTTTAGTTTTTTGTGTGTTTCAATTCTTTGGTGCTAGCTACAGATTATGCTCTCTGTCAGCCCAACCCCTCGGCGCTGGCGCGGTCGCAATTGTCCAAAGAACGTTTCAAAGCATCAGAAATGAAGATAGACATACTCCTAACAGTGTGTGCAGCACCGGTCTCAGTCACCAGTGACACCTTCACCAATACTTTCACTCTGAGTGAGAGTCAGAGATCTCAGTTGTAGCTAACTGGAGAATTTTGCTCTGACCTGGTTCTCCAACAAACAGTGAAGGAAGTAGTTCTCTAGGATCTGCAGTAATCCCTGCTGGAAGGTTTCTTAGTTATAGCAATGCAATCTAAACGCTGATTGACTGCACCAACCGCGGGTAATTGTACCGATCCCTCCGCGAGCGCGTTTGTGATTCGCATGCCATTCATACGTATCGAGCATGCGTATATAGTCACTGAGCTCAGTGTGGCTTCATTCGTCGTTGTCCCGTGGAAAGCTGTATAATGGATGTCAACTCTTAGCGAAGGTCTGGGTTAGCGCAGATGAACGCTAGCCTCGCACGTGTTTTACAGAGCCTTTTTCCTTCAGCCCTTCCGGACACGCGCGCACACGCACGCATTAGCTAACAGCAGGTCTAACTACTTGAGCCATTCATTCATTGATGGTCGTATTCTCAGTCCTGGAACCAAATTGTTGTATGATTTGTCTGATTTCCGCGTGATCACAGCTGTGTTGTGATTTGATGTGTTGTGATTTTCTGTCCTTCTCGATTATCATGTTCCTAGGCTTTAGGACATGCTCTCTGTGTATTCTCATTTCAGGCCTGCTTTGTAAAGCCAGTCTGGATCTTCTTAGCATGTTAATTGGCCTAGACTCTGATTGTGACAAAATTTTTGCCATACTAAGCTATACACATAGCCCAACCCACATGCGTGGTACAATGCCGCTGAGGGTTTCAATTTCATCAGCAATCGCCTAATTTTTCCTTCCTCCAACTCCCAGTGTCGTGTGTGTTCCAGAGAGTGAGGTACAGAGTTGTCATCTCTCGTGGAGGAGACCCAGTCCTAGAGCTGTCCAGAGAGTTCAACTACAGCAGAGGCTACACTAGTGAGTGTATTGAGGAGAAGGTCAGTGGAGAGCTGGAGGAGGGAACTGAGTACAGTCTCCTGGTCTTTGTGGATGATGGAGACTCTGGGAACTCTTCTTCCCACATTCAGACCTTCAGTGAGTAGCTATCAGTGTGACTCTCATGTATGCTGAAGATTTGTTTGCCTATCCATTCCCAAAACGGCAAGTTGATAAACTGACACAAAACCTTTGGGGGGTGTTTTGTGGGCATAAGATACTTATTGCCGAGCGCGTTAGCGTGAGGCAACTACTCCGGGTTGTATTCTCGCGATATGCGTACGTACGTACGTCGTCAATTAGTCACGCTTAGGAATGTAAATTAGTCACAAAAAGGAAGTGTAACTTCCGCCGCGCGCGCAGTTCGCGCGCAGTAAAGTCAGTCGGACTGTTTACGGCAGGCGCGAGGTAAAATATGCGCGGGCGCATTCCTATTATACATTTGAGTCAGGTAAGTATATAAGTAAGTGGCAAACACACACCCACTAGTAATAATATATACACCTCCAGGACCTCCAGTGACTTGAAACAACAGAGACAATTCGATTCAGCACCAACTCTCAGTAAGTCCTCCTCAGTGTAGTTTGTTTCTCACTGTTGAAGTCAGCACACGCAATGCAGCACCCAGGAAGAACAGATCAGAGGAGTGTAATAATGGCAGTGGTCATCTCTCTACTGGTGGGTCCTGCCAGTGGGCGTGGCCATTGGCTGCTGTGGGATGTGTTGCCTGATAAGAGAAGTATTCGATGGAGGATCTGCCAGGCCCATGGAATATCTATGATGTGCCTCTCTCATTTACAATACTTTCTTTCTCTCTGATGAGGCCTATGGCTTCTGCTAATAAGAGCAGGAACTAAGTTCATGTTGGAATTTGTAGAGCCATAATTTATACCACGTATTCTCGCGCTTAATTGTCAGAAGCGCGCGCAAAACATGCAGCGCAACATCTGGCGGCGCGGTGTTGTTAGAAGAGGACCATGATGATGAGAAGCTCAGAGTCTTGTAGGTTCCAGAGGAGTGCGTTGCGTCGAGCAGTCCTCTCAGCCTGCTAGCACTGTCTATCCTCTGCCAGGCTGACTACTGCAAGTATATATAACAATGATCGACACAACACTCGTCTGTATATACACGCGGGCAGCATAGTTCTGTTTAACTTGATCGTGTTTCTTTTTTATCGTGTGCGTCTGTGATTTTGAATGCCGTGTACATAAAAGATGGCTAAGGCTTTGCTGCATACTTTGCTCGCGAGGTCTTAGTTTTGTTTTGTCCAACGTGCACAACTTTCAAGGTTTTGTATAGTGTTTTGCTGGTATAATTATTAGCTAGGGAGCTTTTTGTTTGACCCACAGATGGTCTTGTCTGGTAGTCGGTTATCGGAATTTTTTGCTTGGTTTGGGGGATGAGAGGTCGTTAGATAGCCATGATATGTGGAGGAAAGCTGGGCAGAGTATTCAGTCAGCAGTAGACACCAGCCTCTCTGGGAGCATGCTGATAGTGTAGAGATGAATCACTCACCTGCAGAGATTCTGGTTTCCACTGGAGAACGAGACAGTAGTCCTGGGAGACGAGGCCCACTTCGTATCGGTCAGATATCAGGGAAGATAAAGATACAAGGACTGAGACGGAGGATTGGCGAAAAGGCACAACTCACTGGACTGCTAGATACACATAGGGAGCGATGTTCGTCAATAGCAACGTGACCATAAAAGGTCTGTACAGAAGATCGCTACTACTCTGTGAACGTGTACAACTTGTCCTGTTGCCAGGCGGACCAGAGGATGCCAGACGTGGGTATGAGGTTGACCGAGATGAGAAAGAGATGTGTGTGTCCTGCCACACACCCTTCACCTGGGAGGACTACGCACTGGATAGATATTGTGTGCAGAGAGAGACTGAGTCTGAGAGGATCATACATGACATGACACTCATGATCTGACATCCTAACTGAACCAGTGTCAGTCACACTGGGAATCTAGCTCCACAGCTATCCCAGACGCTACACTCTCCAGGGTACCGGACCGCCTCTATGCTCTAGACCACGAGCACATTTCCATCACTGACATCGTTTTCCCGAAGGCAGTAAGCTATTGTTTCTGTTCAGTGAATGCACCTGGCTCCACTGTGTCACAGTTTTTGTGTATCCTCTTGTTTAAGAGAGTTGCTATTATTCAAACTCCACAGTGTGCAAGCCAGTCCAGCTCCTGCCATACAGCTGGTGGTGAAACGCTGCCCTACAGGGGGGTGGAAAAATCGAGATTGTCGTGTGTTAAAGGTTGGTCTGCCCTCTCATAATTTCTCAGTTGTTTGCCATCATTCATTAGCTGATAATTTCTTGACATTTTTGCCACATTTCCTTAACGGGAGTTAACGATGTGAGACGTGTTAATTTGGGCACAACGGCATATACATCCAGTGACGTGCAACAGAGCAAAACACCAACCACTTGATTTCAACAACCCAAAGATCTGCATAGTCCTCCTCAGTGTAGTTTGTTTCTCACTATTGAAGTCAGCACACACAATGCAGCACCCAGGAAGAACAGATCAGAGGAGTGTAATAATGGTCTCTCAGTGGGACTAGCTACAGGTATTGCAGTGGTCATCTCTTTACTGGTGGTCCTGCCAGTGGGTGTGGTCATCGGCTGCTGTGGATGTGGTGTCTGATAAGAGATGTATTCGACAGGAGGATCACCCAGGGAATATCTATGATGTGCCATCTCTCAATAATTTCCATCTCTCAGATAATCAGGCCTATGGCTCTGCTCCTATTAATGTTTGAATTTTCATCAGTGTGTGTATACAAGTGGAAAAAATCATTAATTAATCTTAAATGAAGGGGTGTATAATGTATATATAGAGGGATGGCTCGAAGCACAGAAAAGGGAGGAAAAAGGGTTAGTTATTAAACAGCAAAGACATAGCTACAAAGCTACCTTTGTCTGGCATAACGCCTATAATTATAATTATGACTCTATAGGACAAAGGAATGGTATATATCATGTAGCTTTGTGTGTGTTTCCTGGGGCTCTGACAACATGGCATGCGCATTACAATATTGTGCAGAGGTTGACCATCAAACCGGGGCGACGCTCTAACATATACCAACGCAGTCTCGTGAATAAAGCGGAAAAGGGGCCGATTATATATAGCCGAATCCTACCTCACGTGCCAAAGCGGGACTAAACACTATGCTTTAGAACTGTTGAGGAAGTATATAGAAGCTCCCCATCAGTCCCTCGTCCTCGATTGTCGCCGCTGAACACTCTGCAGAACGCGCGACTCCGCACCGGCGGGACAACGCGCATAATATGCAGCAGATGGCGTCGTTGATCGTCCTGCACTGCTGAGAGTTCAACGATCTGCTGTAGGCGCTAGTGGTAGGAGAACAATGCATAAGGTAAATGGGGGTAACTCCGGACGCGGAGGTAACTCCGGACATGAGGCGTTGCACCAGCCTCGAGATTATGCGCTGCGAAAAAAACGCGAGGAAGATTTGTTAGCGCTTTGGCAGGTAGTAATCCAGTGAAATATATCCGAATCTTTCTCTTGTTTCTGAATAGCGAGTTATGTCCGGGTGTTACCCGTATCCGAAGTTACCCCCATTTAGCTACCTTACCTCTGCCGGGCTACAAGAGAAAATATATATTAGTGTATTAACATTTTCCAGTAGGGGGTTAGCTAGGTCGCTTACTGAAGAAGAAGACGAAGAAGGAAATCGCGTGAGAGCGAATTTATCGTGCTGAGTCCTGAAGACTCGTAAGAGTTTCTTGGGAACATAGACAGCTAGATAAGGACTCGTGAGTCCAACCTAGGGCACCTGCGTTTCACATGTGTCTCTAGGTGTACAATAGTTCAATTATGTGTTGACATCCCGTGGTTAAACAATGTAATAATAATAATGGGAATAATGTGACACGCCACAAAAAGTCAGTCAGGAAGCTGTATATCAGTGCACCGTGAAGACTCATTCAAATGATGTTTGGAGAAACCAGGTGGCAGAGATTCCCTGATAGTAAGACCTACTAGAGATGTACTGGTCTGTATCCAGTCAAAATTGTGCAGTGTTTTAGGTATTAGATTCTTAGCCTTGTTGTTGTACAGGTGAACAGAGTAGATTTCTGATCTATTGTAGTCGGGAATGTCGTTAAAATGTTTCTTGTAGAGTTGATTGATTCCGTTGGCATTCCAGCACATTGGGAAGAAACCTTTTTTCCAAGGAACCACCAGCACACCCTCCTTCTCTTTGTCTAAACCCCTGATGAAAGATGACAGTGCATCGACAGAATGATGAACCCACCCACCATTGAATCTCTCACAGCTGTAGTGAGCAAACCTGCACACCAGACAGCTGTGTTTCTGTGCCATCATTAGAGCCACATTCAGAGCATAGTGACACTGCTCAGCCAGTACCATTTGGTGCTTGAGGAGAGGGTCGAACGAATTCAAACTAAGAATGTCAGTGTCCATGTATATCCCTCCACTGTGATAGAGGATGGAGAGACGAAGAAAATCAGATTTATGTGGTAGAAGTTTGATGGGAACACGATTCAAAACGTTAGCCCCAGGCAATGTGTGAATGATTTGGTGGTCAATGTATGGGAGAGCACGTCTCCACCAGCAGCTGTCTTGTAGTCCGTCAGTATAGACAGTGATCTTGTCTGGCTTTATCTTGTTCCTGGCACTCACTACTGCCAGCCATTCCATGAATGAGAACGGATGATTCAGAGACACAAAATGGACATGTTTGGGTATGGGGGTAGTACTGTTTTGGACACAGTTTTCTTCACATGACTTCAGCCAGTTAACACAATCTGCAAACAGATATGAATTAAATTTTGCAGAACCATCCTTTGAAAATTAATTATAGAAAGATATTTTGTAATGCATAAACAATCCATGTCCGTCACCAGTTACTAGCTATCATTTAGCCATTTTTCTCAAAGTTCTGCTTTGTATAGCTACTTATCCAGTTGAGGTAAATGGTTTACAATCTATGATCATGCTGATCCCAATGCAATAGACACGTTGTACAGCACAGCTAACACTGATATCTAATGAAAGGCACTGAAGTGCAAAACCCTCGGCTGGTTCTGCATTTAGGTTCATAGAGAAGATTATTCTTTCCTCCCAAGCCTAGCCTAGTGAGCTACAATTCAAACGCCTTAGTTGGAGGCATACTTACTGAACTCAACCGTCTTCTCTCACAGAGAAATGAGGGAAAACAAAATGGCTGCTGGCCACGTGGTCGCGGCGCTTTGGCCGCCTGCCGCCTCGGAGTCGCGTGCGTTTTTGAGTATACACACATGCGCGTTGTTAAAATGGCCGTACCATACGAACAGGAAAACGCTCTAGCTCTGCAACGGAGCAGTTTCAGAGAAAATCCCACATAATTTCTGACCTCCGTCGGCCGCTGGGTATGTAAACCCCGTTTTGGACGCGATCTATGACTGGAGAAGTGAGTTCTCACTTAACTGACAGCAACCCTCGGCACATTGTGACGCGCACGCGTGAGTCAACGCATGCGCTGTATCACTAATCGATGGGCTGGGTTTAGTTTTAGCTGTTACCCGTGGTCTCTTGCCAGCTCGCGCAGAGTCTGACGCGGGCTAACTACACTACTAGATAGCATGCGAGAGGCGATACACGCCCTGCGTTGCATCTTCTGGTGCCTCCAAGGTACGCAGAGCACGCGGATCGATCAGACCGCGGTAAGCCTTCCCGTCCGTTGCGTATTTGCATATTGGCTTTTTCGCGCTCTAGCTCTGCAACGGAGCATTTTCAGAGAAAACCACACATATTTTCTTACCTTCGTCGCCCGTTGGGTAGATGGTATCGTTTCTGGGACGAACAGACATTCGAGAGGTGAGATGTAGAGTAACAGACAGACACACGGACGACAGACCCAAGTTAAGTACTGTAACCCTCGCTACGCATGCGCGCCGAGGGTTAATGAGGTTGAAATTATGCCTTGGCTCTTTTACTGCAAACAGAAATCAATTGGTACGAGTTATGAAGCACGTGAGCTAACACATGTAACATTGTATGAAACTCTGTAGTTCTTTATCAACAACACAAGTTCACCTTCCACAAGAACTGTGGCAAAATGACATACGATAACAGCATTATTTTAATGCATCAAAAAGGGCTCATGTCGATACAGATGGTAGTTGTGTGTGTAGGTAGGAATCACTAACTTTCATTAAATGGTGTAGGAAGTCTGAAGCTGACACTCAGTCCATATGCCAGAAAGGAAACTGCAGCAAACACAACCAGTGGTACAGCAGCTACCACAACTCTTGTCCGTTTCATTTTGGGGATTACTGTAGCTATTACATAAACAAGAAGGAGATAATAATTATCACTAAGTATGGTAGCTAGTACAGGATGCGATGACACAGGTTATAAAGCATTATGCCCAAACATCGGAGATTTTCATGAAAAAACATGTTTATAGCATACTAGCTCATGTTTTTCTTTCAGTTTCAATCAGATTCCAATTCTGACATATCTGTCCGATCAGTATATATAGTCGAAAAGAGCATGTACCTAAGAAATGGTTTGAATCCCACTATTGGTAATGTGTTTTTTCAAGAAATCGTCAAGCGTATCTCAAAAACCAGGTAAGATACAGAAATGTAACTCTGCACAGAGACTTGAATTCATGACTGGTCATGCAAGCAATGTTGTTTACATGAACAAGTAAATAATGGCCGTAAGCCATTTTAAAAGAAGTTGTAAATGATTTTTGTGTCTCTAACTTGCTTATGGGGTGTCCTCAAAAAGTGAAACGCGGTTACAGAAGAAAGGAGACAAGACAGGGATGACCTAGTGAATGTGATGCAGTAGTACAATGATGATGGCTAACTGACATCACTTGCTCAAGTTTCCTGCACACATGCCCTATATTGTTGCAACCTCTATACTCACTGACATTAGTGAATAGTGTAAATGTGAGAACAGTGGTGAAGGGGTTCTTCTTTAGCCATCAGTCGTCAAAAGAAATGATGCGCGTTCGTGAGTCATGCACCAACTTTCTTGCTACGCAGATAGATAACAAAAAAATACGCTTGGCCGAGAATACCACGTAGCTAACCCGCTAGCTACATACATTATTATATCCCCTAGCTGCCCTTACTCACCTATAGGTTTTCGGAAAGGAGAGCACTCCTAGCTACGTAGCTACGAAACCCAGTAGTGGCGGGACTTTGGGAGGTACCGATCAGTATTGGCTACAGGCGCCACCCTCTAGGCACTCAAGGAAAGTTGACCTTTCAACTCTCCTATATACACGATCACAGAATATCGTCGCAGTGATCGCCGTAGCTACCTGGTCGCCGCCTCAATCCAATATTTTTCGCCTTTATGACAGAATTCTCTCGCTCGATAAACGATCGTCACCGTAGAAATTCGTCGCCACGAAAGGAGAATCGTCGACGCGAAAACGATTCGTCGCCCCCGAAAACGATCTGTCACCCCGATTACAGAGGTTTACGGGGAAAATCGTTTTGACACAAACGGCGCGCCATACTTAAATAGGAAACCAACGAGAAAATGAAAGTTTGAAGAGCAAGTGTTGATGGAAGGAAGACACACGGTTGGCATAACTCACGTCAACACGCAGATGAACTGGGTTAAACGAGGGAACCAATGTGCGTCGTCGCTGGATGATACCGAGTTTTGTCATCATACGCGCTCGATGGACCAGGTTTCAGAACGGATGTCAGAGTAGTAGCTACTGTACTGGGGCCGGGTGTAAAGTTCCTGAACGGTGCTAAATCAATGAAACGACCGAAGAAAGTAACAGCGTTACCTGGGCGCCTTAAGTTCTTTTGGTGTCTTCTGTCTCTCTTCGGACTAGTGGTTGTCGTCTTCTGTTACTCTCACCTCTTGTGGTCCAGCGCCGTTCCGACGATTGAAGCTGGCCCCAGTGTCGCCCACGACGTAAAAGAAGATGTTCCAACACTCCAGCCAGTCACGCATACGGTGCCGCAGGGGAGTGATGACAATGCGGAAGAAAGTAATGTTAAAACGTGTGCTTCTTATGCAAGGATTGTAGCTGCCTATGGCCGTAGTACCCCCAGCAACCATTCCTGCCCTCATCCATCAGCGTTTCACTCCTGGCGGAAAAGTTTTATGTCACCAATGGGACCACCTCTCAAGAAGGACTGCAACAAACTGAGACAGAATCCGGCACAAGAAGTGAAGAGTTCCAACCTGAGTGTGCAGCTTAGGGCATGGAGAAAAATTACTCCATGGGTGCCATTTGCACAAAATTACAAGAAGATGAGTTGTGATGAAATCAGAAATGACTTTCGTAACAATTTTTATGTGTCAGAAGTTGAAAAAGATTTCCCTATTGCTTATGTCCTTGTGGTATACAAAGCACCAGGCCAAATACTGCGACTGCTCAAGGCTATTTATAGACCACACAACTTGTATTGTATACATCCAGATGCCCGGCAAGGCAAGGATTTCAAGGGTGTTTTTGACAAGATTGCAAATTGCCTGGACAACGTGTTTGTGGTGTCCAAGCCAATAGAGGTGTACTATGGCCATATTTCAATCACTGATGCCCAGCTAAACTGCATGCAAGACCTTGAGAAACACCCTCGGTCCAGATGGAAGTACGCCATTAATCTCTGTGGGAGGGAGATTCCACTAAAAACTAACAGAGAGATCATCAAGTCCCTACAGAAACTGAAGGGGTACTCAGCCGTCAATGCATATCCACTACCCGGATTTTATAAGTGGGAGCGTTTAACTTACAAGTTTGGCCTCGATGCCCATGGAATTATCCACCCAACTAAGGATAAACAAGCCAAACCTCCCAGCGGTATCAAACTCCACAAGAGTATGAACTTTATTGCTGCAAGTCGAGATTTCGTACAGTTCATACTTCATGCTCCCATCTCTACTGGCCTTCATGACTATCTTACCACCGTGCTCGACCCAGAGGAACACTTTTACTCTTCACTCTATGTTTTACCTAAGGCAACGGGTGCTAGACCGCCAACAGAACTACTGAATAAGTCTGACATCCCAACAGTAAACTCCTTCATATGGGTCATAGATCCGTCAGAACAAGTACGTAATAAGGTCTGTCCTGGAAAAACACAAGTCCACCACATTTGTATTCTGTCAGCCATGGAGATGCAGAATATACATAAAGCTGCGGTTAATGCAGAAGAGGTGTTCTTCTTTTTCAACAAGTATTATCTAGAGTTGGACCCCACACCGATGGACTGTATGGAGGAGGCACTCTTAGTGGCTAACATGAATGAGTACATAAAAGACTGCCTGCCCAACTTTGGCAAAGACATGCTAACATCTTTTGATTGATGAGATTAGGCATATTATAGGCATCCACAGTATATGATAATTGGCGAGCGGGAGCGAGCTAACCTAGTGGTACGAACGGCGCGGATTTATTGGCGAGCAGCCAACCTAGTCGTTCTTTCGAGCAGAATTTTCGGTATAATTATTAGAGAGTCGGTAGACTCTCTATATAGGGATGACACGGGTGAAATCTCACGTGATCCGCGTACAAAACGATTCAAAACTCGGTGAGAATCACTTCCTAGGCCTTCAAAACATACTAGCAATAGTCTACGGGCCCATATCTACCTATAAATGTCCCCCAAGAGCTCATACGCACCTTCAGTCGTCCACGCGAGAATTCGCTCATACGCGAATTCACGATTTTCGTGTCATCATATTCTTCATCTTCTTCTTCTTCTTCTTCTTTAAACCCGCTATCTCCTTACCAGTACCAGTTCAAGCACTGATTTTTTCACTGAAGGTCTCCAATTTCGCCGGAGGTGTGCACGGACATCAAGCGATCGTTTCTTTCTTTCCGCTAGTCACTACGGTAGATCATGGAGCTCTTCCCTGGTCGACCTGAACAACGCCATTTGCTGCTTACTCAGCATCATTGATCCGCGCGCATGCGCCAGGCAGGGGCGTTGTCCAATGTGCTTGCGAACGTATTCTACCGGGCGAGTTGGCAGACCTGCAGAGGAACTGTCAGCCTCCAGTACCTTCTGTAAGTAAGTGTGCACATTTCCAACTGGCTATCTTGCTGTTGATATGCACGAAGAGCAACTTGCCAGAGTCTGCGCGGTGTTACGCGAGCCTTGCGGGGCACTCAGTCAAATGGGCCTTCATTGTTTGTCCCCCCAGGTTGTAGCCTGATTACAAAAACCTGCCAATGAAACCACAACCATGTGCAATAATCTAATTACATCCATGTTGAAGACAATACATGGTATCTAGCAGTCCATTAGCTACTACTTTCAATTTGTCTATGGTAGCCTATCTACAACATATAGCCATGAACATCAGAGTGACTGTAACAATAAATGCAGTGTTGCCAGAAGCTGTTAAAAATAGTGGAAACAAGTGGAAAAATCATTTCTTCAAAATGAAAGGGGGATATAGGGATGGCTTGAAGCACCAAAAAGGAAGAAACAAGGGGTCATTACACAGCAAAGTTGCACAAAGCTACATACACCATCCCTATATCTTTGTTTTATTGTTTATAAGCAAAGTTTAATATCAAACAATATCAAACAAAGATATAGGTTATAGCTATCATTGTAGTCTGATTACTGAAGCCTGCCTATGAAAGCACCCCACCATATATGTGCCACAACCTAATTGCATCCTTGTTGGAGACACTACGCATACACCCTGCTTCAGGTAGGAGCAGCCCATTAGCTTCTGCTTTCAACAGTTATCTCTACAACACCCATGAACATAAGAGTGACTGAAAATGCAGTGTTGTCATAAGGCGTGAAAAATAGTGGAAACAAGTGGAAAAATCATTTCTTCAAAATGAAAGGGGGATATAGGGATGGCTTGAAGCACCCAAAAAGGAAGAAAGAAGGGGTCATTACACCGCAAGTTGCACAAAGCTACATGACACCATCCCTATATCTTTGTTTTATTGTTTATAAGCAAACTTTCCCTTGAGCTAATATACATGCAAGACAACCTCCATGCAGAGCCGTATAAC